GGCGGGGCTTTGCCGGCCGCGGTGCCAAGCCCTGCGCTTGCATCTCCGGCGAAAGAGGGGAGGCGAGCAGGAGGCTGTCACATCCTCACACCCCAGGGAAACATCTGCCGCCGCGGCAGCTCCATCCTTAATCGTCCAGCCGCCGGGTTATACATAATTAATCCCAATCCATTAAGGCGCCCGCACGCCCTCACCTCTGCTCCAGGGGCAGCTTTTTTGAAACAACCAGGCCTGCGGTGGTGCAAACTGCACTTGGGGGTGGCCAAAGAGACAGGGAACTGCCTTCGTGCTCGGTGCAGTTGTGCCCGGGAAAAAGAGAGCAAGGAAGTTTCCATTGCAAAACCAAACGACTGTGCTGATCTAGTCACTGTCGGGAGCACTTACAGCTGTGCTGCTCAGTCTTTATTGTGCCCCTACAAAAAGGCAATTAAGAAAGTGTCTGGAATCCCAGGACATTTGCATGTTCCTGTGGTCTAAGAGTATTTAATTTGTAGTAGTGTAGAGAAAGGATTTTTTGAAAGAATGGGGCAGAGGGGAGTGAGTTATTGGTGAAGTAAATAAAGCCTGGCAGGAAAATTTCACTGTATTGGAAGATTTGGTATGTTGTTACTGTGCCAGAGAAGAAAAATAGCTGTTTACATCAAAGGACCAAAAAGACTGCTCCACAGGAATCCTGAAGCAGAGTAAAAGGCAGACGTCTAGTCAAGAGGACTAGCTTAGACATATGACCAGCTCATCCACGTGCTTCTTTAAAGCACGGATCACTTCTCAATATTGACAGTAGAAATAATTCAGCCTTACTTGGCAAATTTACTTCCCGGGATAACCTGGACAGAATCCCTGTCAACAAAATCCAAGATAAAGCTTTAATTGCATTTCACTCTGCAAAATGAATGCAACAAAACATGAGTCGTCCTTGCAATGTCTTCCATCCTGTGCCTTACCTGGGTCCCATGTCTTTGCCTCTCCTGCCATTTCTTTTTAAAGCTTTCCAGGAGAAGGTAAGCAGTAGGGTAGAAGGTCAGTCTGCAACAGCAGATGTTATTTCTAGTGTAAAACTGATTATACTTGGTATGGAGATTACTGAGTGTCAGTAAATGTACACACCAGTATGGCATTTTAAAGGCTTGTTACTGGCAGAAGTCAAATTTTTGAAGTATCTTTTCACTAACTTGAATGTACAAGTGTGATAGAAAGCGGACACAAGATGTGTCAGACAGAGTTCTGTGTTTTCATAGTGTTGCTTTAGCCTTACAATACTGGTATTGCATACAAAATGTTCTTGTATTGCTGTCACTTTTTACCCATTTTAGTTCTCATGACCTATATATGAAAGCTGTCTTAATAAAGAAGGAAGCTTTATTTCTTTTTTTCTGCTCCATCAGCGAACTACAGCATGATTCTGCATTATGGAACACAACTTTTTATTACTATAAACCTATACTGTAATAAATGTTAGACCCATTTCTGATTTTGTGTTAATCAGAGCAAGTTAGGAATTCAGGGAAGTTACGTCTATGTGAGACTAACAAAAATGAGAGAATGATCAGACTCTGTGCCCTAATTTTTCCTGACAAGGCCAAAAGTAAAGGCCTCCATAGTGTGAACTGAGCTGTCTAAATAAACGTAGTTTGATTTTTCTGAAGTGCCAGACCTTTGCAGATGGCACTGAATTAATGCAGAGAGGACCTCTATAAATCAGAGTGCTTTTGTTTAGATTGCTAAATGAATACCAACGAGTTTGGGATTAGGAAATGAGTTCTGCATATTCTGAGCTGAGGCATTAATGGATATGCCAACGTGATAGAACAAATGGCAAAACTCTGGAGGTAATTAAGGTGCATGGAAAATTCTAATGTCAATGTGATTTACCTATTCCAAGTAATAATTGTAAGTTTTCTGGATTTGTGTTTCTCTGTGATTGTGTTTGATAAGTTTTGTTTATGTTAAATGTGTATTTCAATTTAATTCATATTTGTGATCTAGATACCAACAGAATAGCTTATTTTAATAGCTTCATTGAAAACACCATATAATTTTTTGTAAGACTGAAAACCTATTATTTTTGTCTCTACTAGGTGAATATGTGATTTGTTGTGCTGTTTCAAGTTGCTGTGTGTGTCCCTGAAGGACTAGATTGCTGTGGTACGCATGAACCATGTTTCACACCAGGAGACATTTCATTGTGAGGCGGCTTCTGTTGGTACCAAGCAACAAAAACACTCTCTGTTAATTCAATGGCTCTGTTCTTTTTGTACCATACTTGATAAATCCCTTTTCAGGAAAGAATTCACTACTTAAACCACTGCCTTGCTCTTCATGGTTTCTATGCACTGATCTTCTGGAGGATGATCTCTAGTTTTACTGTGGTTTCTTGGTTAGGACTTCAGAAACTCCGAGAAAGAGGAGCAAGTGGAGTCTTTTAAGTTTACTGCCACATGAGGACAATAGAAGAGAATGACCGTGGTTTCCCATGGAGCTGAAAGGCAGGCAAGTGCCTTTAAAAAGTCCGCCATGTCAGTTGAACCAGTTCAGAAGATGGATCACCAACAGTATCCAAGTCTGTTAAAGAAGATGTGCATGCCTGTTGTGAGAGGTCCTGAGAACAGACCTGGCTTTGCCAGCTTTGAAGAGAAAAACAGTAATTCTTTCCTTAAGTTCAGTCCATTCACCCCTCCCATAGGGCCAAATTGCCCTTTATTCCCACACCGGGATGATGTGCCTTTATTAGATCCTTGCTCAGGTTTTGTGAGTCCAGGAGCAGATGCTGACCTGCAGCCCAATGCTGGAAGAGCTGTTGAATCCCTGGTAGACTACAGTGATGTGAAACCTCACCAGCAGGGCCCCATCACAGGAAAGAGAGGCCAGGGTGCCCACAGGAGGCAACTGATCCTCCTGGAGGAAACCAGCCAGGACAGAAGGTGGAACTCCAGGGTTGTGTCAGCTGCTTCTGTCAGAGCATGAATCAGAGGTAAAGCAAACTAGCATTTTTATTTCTTAATCACCAAAGAAATTGGTGATGCTTGACAAATAAATAAAATTAGTTTCTGAACTCCATCCCCCATGATCCTGAAAGAACAGCCTTATAAAATATAGTTGCCCTGAATATTTGAACTGAATGTAACAACTGCAGTAGAGTGTTTGTGTGATTCATTGTCCCTGCTGTAGCAAAGACATACCAGTCCGCGAATTCTAATGAGCATTCTAATGCTAAAAGAAATAATCTTTTAAGGTAAATAATGTTTTAAAAAATCTGTTTATGTAAATTATGAAGTTATATACAGTAGTTTTAATGAACACCTGTTTTAATGTAAACCAAAATAACAAATCACTCCAGAGTTGGGAAATCCCCTGGATATTTCTCTGTCTTTCAGTGTTTCCTGACAAGTTGCAGTGCAGCACGCTTAAAGACCTATTTCGGCATGTAGCTGATCAGAGAACAGAAGTTCTTTAGGACTGCTGTTACATGTTGGTCAAAATACATATTACCCTCTTATTTTATATCAATGTGTTACACATAAAGTTGGGTCTGATCATTTCGTATTGATTACAGCATCAAAATGGAAATTCATTCTTTTTAACATGAAGCAAAATTGGGTTGGTAGTTACTATTCAGAATTTTCTGATGAAAATTCTGGAAAGCAGAAATATCCACCCAGGGCTTCTAAAGGCAGACATAATTAACCGTAAGCAATATGGTTGAATTTTTATAAAGATTAAGCCAATTCCAACAATTTTCATAGAGAAATGCTCATTGCAGCTAGAACAAAATTTTATGGGAACTCCAACATGCTCATAGATGAGGGGAGGCATTTCTAGAACATGATGAAGAAATATAAATAAGCTCCTTGTTCCATTTTACTATACAAAGATAACACTCTCACTTCACAGTTAGCTATACTTTATCCATGTTATTGTCACCATAAAGCCTCTACATGCTATAAATTCAGGCAATGGTTTTGGTTCCTTGTTTCTGTCTTCGAATTTTGCATTTTAAATCACTTTAAGCCTACTGCAGTCATATAACAGAACCCAAAAGAACCCAAGAAACCACAGGGGATAAAAAAAATAGACTCTATCATTTTCCTTTTTTTTTTGAGCTCATCCTATGTAATTTTCACTCTTATTTCTCAGTTAGTGTGTTCTCCATTTACATATGAACTCAGACATCAATGAGAACTGATCAGCTTTTTTTTTCCTGCAAGCTTCTGGAAAAATGAAGGGGAAAGAAGATTTGAGATACATAATTTTATCTGACCATTAATTTTTCTAAAGCAGAGAAAAACAGAGAGAGACACAGAGAGAGAGAGACTCTGGCAGAAACACCTGAAATGAGCACAGGCAAAATCTGAAACTGAATGTCATCAAGTCGGTAACCTAGGTTACAGTCAAGAAGGTGGTCTGAAATGGAGAGTAGTTCCAGAAAGCAGATAGAAACTGTCTGATGGTTTTCTGGTCATTTTTTGTTGAGTAAAGTTCACTATTAGAGCGAAATATGGACTCCACTGAAGCTGTTGGAAAAAGTCAAGCTTAACTTGGAGACAAACCTTGAAACAGATATTGTCCAACATAAATTTCTTAAGGAAAGCTCTGCAAATGTTCTTCCAAACCTAGTATTCATTTACAAGTTTTCCAGTGATGCTTAGTTATTAACTACAAATGTGTAAATATAGATATAAAAAGTAGTTGAGTTTTAAGCTACTGTTTTTAATGAAACTGCATAAACAAATGCCAGATTTCAGCTATGTGATTCAGAGCCCAGCTACCAACTCCCAGGCACGTGATGTGATGAAAGTTGCTAATCTTTCTAGATACCAGTCTCAAGACATTCCACAGCTAAGTTGTTTGGGGAAGTTGTGCTGAGAGAGAGATCAGGCAGGCATTTTGCAAGCAAGTTCTACAGTTATTTTCTCCACTGTGTCAGAGGCGAGTGCAAAAAAAAACCAGAGGTGGAAGCAGCCTTTGAGATGGATGAGCTGAGGTATATAAAACCTCTGCAGTGGACAGAAAGTTCTCTGTTGTGAGAAGATGTAGTGCTATGGCTTAGGCAGTCAACAGTGTTACTTTGAACGTCCACAGCAGTCTTTTGCATCTACTGAGCAAACCAAGTCCATTGAATGGTGAGGCTCTGTGATAGCAAAGCAAAGGTGAGAAGTTGACAAAGAAGGTCATTCTAAGACTGGAGAATCAGAGCCTACCAGAGAAGTGAGATGGCTGAAGAGCTGTTCTTCATGTCTTCTGGCTCAGTATATGGAACGTGCTGAGTGCTAGAAGACAAGGTCTTTAAGAAGTTGACAGTTTTTGCTTGTAGAGTCTCCTTCTCTCACTCATATGACAACAGAATTTTGTAACCTTTTCTTTGTGGTCTCAAGTTTCTTTACGATGTTTAGGAGGACCTCAGAATTTGACCTTACAGGTATATTTGTACCTGGAAACCTGGTGACGAAACCCTCATATCCAGTTTATAATTATTATTCTATGTTGTATGACTTAACACAGAGATAGGCATGGGGATTGCAGAAGGAACCAGAGAATTTGATAAGTCTGATAAGGAGCGGAGATACTTCTTGCCCCTAATGGAAGCTGACACACCTGTAGACACAGTTTTCTTGAAAAAGTGGGAAATGGGAAACACTATAGCGTTTACCTATAGACTAGATAATAATCCTTTTCTATAAGAAATAAGCAGTTACCTCATGCTGCTACTAGAGTGGTCATATTTGGATTTGTCCAAAAGCCCAACTAGTCCAGTATTCCATCCAAGACTGTGGATGATTAACAAAGAATGTCATCGTACTTCCTCCACATATTTTCCTATCATGTGATGATTTGTTGACCAGGGATTTGTGACCAGCAGATGGTGTGTTTGTAGTTAGTAGTCATGGATTCATAGATTTGCCTTCTTAAATATATCCATTTGCTTTTTGAACCTATCACTTAACTTCCAACCCTCTATTTCCTCTGTATTTGTGAATATCTTAAACAACAAAGTCCTAAGCCTGGATGAATTATGTCCAGATCTCTCTACCGGTGATCTCCATCCATCTGAAAAATGGATCATTTACCCCTTCCCTCCTTCTCTGTTCTTCTAATCAATTATTTATCCATGTGAAGATCTTATCTTTATTCCTTTGTTACTGTAAGAGGCTCTGTTGAACAATTTTATGCAGAACTTGTTGAAATAATTGTGGTTGCATTATACTAATTTCCCAATGGCCTTTGTATAGGAAGAGATCCCTTCCCAGTGCTTCCTCTCCTGAAGCAAGTATTTTCTCCACGGTAATCGTTACTCTCGAGAAGTAATCATCCAGGAATAATCCAGGATTAAGCAGCACATTGAGAGTGAGGCAAATCAAGGTAGGATTCCAGCCTCTCCTCGTTTTCAAATAATGATAGAAAATGACTGTACACAATGCTGGTGCAGCCCCAGTTTGTAACATAGGCATTTAGTGAGATAAAACCTTTTACCTGGCTGCAGAAAAAGAAAGAGGAAAGGTTAGTCAGGGGCAGTAACATGTAAAGCAAAGAGCAAAATAACGTGCAACTTGAAAACCATCAAATTAACAATTCAAGAATGCTCATAAATAACATGCATACCTCGTAACTATTGTAGCATATGAACAAAGTCAACTAAGAATGAAAAATGGCCTACAGTAGGCTCAAGAATATCTGTGCTATTAAATAATTACCCACAACACAATGAATTGTGTGATAGCATGCTACCTAATAAGCTAGTAGGTCATCTGGAAATAATGCATAAAAACTGAGAATAATTACTTGAGGGCTGAGTGTCATTGAATAAAACAACTGTGGTTTCACTAAGGATTTGATTATTTACCATCCCTACAGTTATGTATTTCACTGTTTGTTTTTCACTTGCCCAGTAGCAGAGTGATGCTTTGTTTATTCAATAACTTTAGTCTTTCTCTGTTGCTTTCTTTTGTCATGCATGTCTTTCCAATATAAACTGATGGGTTTTATGCTTATTTACAATTATTTTTCAGGGGGTGATTTGTAGCCTTTTCTTTCAAAAGAGTAAAAGGTAGAGAAGTAATAATGTTAATAGATTATATTTATTTTCCATATATAAAGAGAAATAGAATAATTAACCAAGGAACTAAGCAAAATAATCTGGAAGAGTTATCTGTAAACCTTTCATTTGGCATTATTATCTCTTGCTGGGCCCACTGAAGCCAATACTCCTACTAATTTTAAAATGTAAAAGGTAAAAAACAGTGCAAAGTTTTCGAACAACAGTGAGGTGCAGTGAAGCTGGTGAGACTGCTGATTTTGTGAAACCTCTCTGCGTATTTCTTTATGTGCTGACATAAGAATCTCACTTTTTCCTTTAAAAACAAAACAAAAAGGTATTCTGGCTTTCATGGTTTCTGGGAAAAGGCTTAGAAATATGAATGAGTACATCTTCAGTTTCTGACTCAGAATCCAAACCAGAGATTCCTGAAATTTGTTATCCATCATTGAATCCTGCTTTGTCAGATAAGAAGACTAGTTTAAGTGATAAACTGAAACAGACAGTATCATTAAGCTTGTCATTAGTTAAAAGTGACAAAGCCAAGACACTGAGTTCCCAACTTGGACAAGAACAGATCATGCCATTTTCAGTCCTGTGGACTGAGCAAATCATTAGCAGATTTGAAACCTCCAGAAAGTTGACTTAAAGAAAAAATGATTGCAGTTTTTATTGTAGATCTTTCCACTGTAAGAAAAAGGAGAAGTACATGTTAGAAGATTAATCAGCCCAACAGTAGTGTCAAGATGGCAAATTACAGTATGCAGTGCAAGAGCAGAGGTCTCTAGGAATTCATATGTACAATTATCAAAGCAAATGTAGAATTATATACATGTCCTCCTAAGGACATTATAGCTGACGTGAGTGTTTTGCACATACAACACAAGGAATAACAGCTGCAACCTTTAGCTCTTTAATCAATGAACCAGAGGAAGACTGTTTTTTATGGAACTACTAGGACATATGGACGGATACATTTAAGCTATCTACCTCTTTACTATAGAGGGCACTAGTACCCACATACAACATTTGGGACATAAAACTTAATGGAAACATTCACATATGAGTACAAGTCATGTATTTGCACATAGCATTTAAAGTTTACACAAAGTGGAGGCAATAAAGATGCAGGCACCATCTTTACTGCGAGCACATTACCTGTTCAAGAGACACTTTCCAAAATAATTGTTTTAATTGGGGAATGATTCTATTTGAAAAATACTCATAGTTCAAAGATCCACAAATTCTATAAATCTTTTCAAAAGCAGCAACTTCAAGTTATAGCACACTGTGCAGAAAGCTCTTTTAAAAAACAAGTCATATTATTTCCGTATCTACATATAGCATTAGGATAGTAAACTCAGTCTCTTTTACTGAAAGCTGTGATTTTCTTTTAAACTTTGTCAGAGTGATTAGTTCTGCAAGAACTAATTTTGGATTCTGCACAGTGATTTTCAACTTTTAGTCTTTGAACTGTTTTCTCCAAAGTATACCTAAAATTTCTGCAAATAACTAGGAAAACTAACTCTATTATGAATTAGCTTAAATTTGCTACATGAAGGTCTTCATATGCATTAGAGATTTTTAGGGGTCTGGAAGTAAAAAGCAGGTTGAAAACTACTTAAAAGTAGTACATTCTTGATACTACGTAATAGTTTCCAGTGTTCATAGAGAGAGTGGTGTGATGGCTGTATGGCTGCCTACCTCTTTTACTGTACTATTACAAAGTATATTTAGAAGTACACCTTTTCCAAAGTCACCAAAAGCAATATGCTAGTTAATGGCACAGCGATTTGGATGATACTCTCATACATATCCCTTACCTTACTTAAAAGATTATTTTGTGGGTTTTATCCTGATTCCCTAAGGAAACAGGTTGTTTCCATTCATCTTCTTTATTTATCTATTGGTTCTCCCCTAATAACTTTTAACTGCATTGGCCAATTTCTGCCAAATTTGACAGAGATATAAACATCTCAAGAATGATCGCATCCTGGCAAGATTTTTGAATACAGAAGTCTGGGGAGAGGAGAGACATAAATGAGTGTTCTCTTGAGGGAGCTGAAACTTGGGCCTTATAACAACTTTCTCTTTGGCAGCAGCTCACGTGCTTATCAGCCTGTGTGTACTGGCCCACCAGTCAGCACATATGTGGCTCTACAGTAACTGCAGGATATGGCCTCATGGTGGTTAAGCCTCATTTACAGGACCTGGTCAGGAAGAACACAAATTATGGAATACTGGAATATGAAATTGGGAGGATGAAGGAGAGAGAGAAATATCCTTAGGAAATCAGTCACCTATTGCTCATGGAATAGGTTGTTTATTGCTTTCAGGGCTGGCAAAAATTATGTAAGTGTAGAAATGCAGTATGTATTTACTAGTTTGGGCTGCATTAACAAGCTTTTATTATTATGCTTGATAATTTGGATACTTTCCTTTATACAGTTAGTACTGTACCTGACAATATGTGAAGTAGGCCAAACCATAGCAATGTGTGTTGTGACATTATTTATCACTTACTTTCATCTTCCATGTAATTTAATGTATTTTTGTGGAAGTTTGTAATTCAGAGTGGTAAAAAGTTGAGCATCAATTTTTATGGGAAGCCATGAGTTGTTTTTGTCCAGTTTAAAACAATAAGGATTGCTGCAAATTGATTAACTTATTAGGAAGGCCTGCCTTTCAGGTTGGAGAAGTCCAGTGAAAGTTGCTTCTACTCTACCTGACCAAAACCATATTTTTGCATTTTGTATGGAACCCTATCTCAAGGCAAGTGTCTGGTGCTCTTCTTGTAATGACAGAAAACATATTTAAATCATGTTGTTTCTAGTTTGCTTTCCATTCAACATACTTTGGCAGTGATTACAGTACCGTAGTGACTTTTTAATTTCTTCATCTAATTATATTGCAATAAGCGCTGTATTTCAGGAAGCTGTATGTTAGCATGACCAGATTTTAATGGTGGCTATTATTCCAATAATTTTCATTTTTTGTACTGTTACTTTGGTTAAAGCATTTAGACTGTAATGTGGGACTGATACTGCCAATGTCAGTTATGTGTAACTGGAGACAGAGTTAGAGCGAAAATACCAGAATGTACAAAAGATACCAAAACCAACCTCATACTTGGTATAGACACTCATCTATTTAATACTTAGGCACTGCCTTATTTGGTGCAAGTCGCAAACAAATAAGTAAATAAAAACCATCAATGATTCCATAGCGCAAGTCTGATTAAGTCTTTCACATACTGAAAATGTAATGGCATCCTTCATCCTTCTACACCGATGAGACTATTCATAGTCCTTAAAGTGTTGCACATGCTTAAATAGTTCTTTACGTTGGACCCATTTTGTAGCAATGAACATGATACAAATACATCAGGCATATGTGAGGAACTGCAAAGTGCGTTTGCTATGTCATTTTATAAATAATATAACAAATGTAAAGCTACATTCTTGAGGACATTCTATTAGTTTTAAACTTGTAATCACTATATTACATTTTCCTTCCTGAGTAAAACTCCTCAGAAATAGATCCATTCTTGATCTCCAGTGCCAGCTGGTGAAGTATGTGAATTGTGTGTTTCACATTCTGATGCAAAAGAAGATGGTAAACTAGGAAAATGCAGATACATACAGTTCACTTTAAACAAGGGATCATAGTATCATATGTGTTGATAACATTGCTTTCTGCCATATATTTGATTTCTCTTAGGAATCAAGTGATCCTTCTGCAAGATGGAGAGAAGAAAAAGCAACGGTCTATTTCTACAAGTCAAATACTAAAAGTGAGACACCATTTCCTTTAAAAACAGTTTTTGCTTTTGCTTTACTTCATTTTTTCATCCTTTTGCTACTATGCACCTTTAAGTAGCAGGACATATAAGACTACAATTTTTCTGTCACTCAGAACTTCTGGTGTTTTAACAGCATTTAGCATAGGATTCATCTTGTGAACTTCAGTTATCTAAAAGCTTACATCCAGTCTATGCCTTTCATCTCCACTTCCTCTATAGGCAGTGAAGAGAAACTGGTTTCCAAAAGGGCATCCTGTACAGGTGTCTTCAACGCCTGTCACAGGCATGATATGACTAGTGTCTAATCTCTATTTATGTCTTGTCTCGCTTAACTGACTATTCAAATTTAGACAAATCCCATCATCACTGTAAGCTTATTGGAAGATAAACTACCTCTTTCAATTAATGAGCAAGATATTTTTTAAGAAGATAAGCCTGTGAAACTTTACCATAACAACTTGTTCCCTAACAAGCAATATGTAATTCCAGGCTTTCCATTTCCCTTTAAACTAGGAATATACATCTTTGTTATTTTCTACATCCTTCTTTGTCACATAATTCCTTATTATCTAGCTACTGGTGTCATTCACTAATGATTATATGGGAACTTTTTTCTCTTCTTATTTACTGTTGATCTAGAGCTTATGAAGAAGTTTCTTGGGATAACATGTTACCTTCCAAAATCCAGCCTCCGGAATCAACAGTGGAAGTGTTGGCTGATCCTGTTTCCCAGTGTTTCACAAAAAGTCGATACAATCCTGAACCTGAAATAAGCCAAGTCAGTGAACAATTTCTTGCCAACTGGTTTTAGGTTTTGCTAATAAAATGTAGCCTAAATTTTGTGTAGGTCATACACATAAACCCACAGCAATGTTTTCAAATAAAAACAATCCTAAGTGAGCGTTTAAGGTCATCAGCATGCTCCAGTAATTGCCTCAAATGATTCCATATTTTTTCTCTTATCCTCCCCTGTAAATTGGTACAGAAGAAGATATGCATGCACAGTACCAAAAGAGAGGAGAAGGATATTGAGGAAAAATTCGGTGATAGGAATGATGCTGTACCATAATAAATCTCACTTTGTTAGTTTACTTGTGATTATTAACTGTAATATTATTTTTACTAAACTAAAATTCAGTCCTGCAATTGGTTCTGATTGCTGCATGAAAATCTATTAAGCCAAATTAATTAGATAATGTTGCCTTACAAGAAGCATCTAATTATGATTTTAGGTTGTGGAGGCTTCTGGGACAGATTTCAATCAAAATCTTTTACCTCTTGTGGTTTAACCTCAACCAGCCATGAAGCACCATGCAACCACTTACTCACTCCCCCCTACCATGGGATGGGGAGGAAAATCGGAAAAAAAGTGAAAACTCATGAGTTTAGATAAGAACAGTTTAATAATTAAAGTAAAATAAAATGAAATACTAACAACAACAGCAATAATAATAGTAATGAAAAGGAATATAACAAAAGAATCAAACCCAAGACAACTGATGCACAACACAATTGCTCACCACTTGCTGACCAATGCCCAGCCTGTCCCTGAGCAGCAATCAGCCCCTCCCGGCCAACTCCCCCAGTTCATATACAGGGCATGACACTCTATGGTATTGAATATCCCTTTGGCCAGTTCGGGTCAGCTGTCCTGGCTGTGCTCCCTCCCAGCTCCTTGTGCACCTCCTCGCTGGCAGAGCATGGGACACTGAAAAGTCCTTGACTTAGGGTAAGCACTGCTTAGCAACAACTAAACCATCAGAGTGTTATCAACGTTATTCTCATCCTAAATACCAAACACAGCACAGTACCGGCTAGTAGGAAGAAAATTAACTCTTATCGCAGCCAGCCGAAACCAGCAGAGACCTATTAATTTGTAAGTTTCTTTTTTTTTGTGAATATCGGGGTCCTCTGAACACTTCCTTTATGAAGTGTACATACAGTTAATTATTTCAGAAGACTAAATTCAGCAGCATTCTGTAACTAGAGAAATTAAGATAGTCAATCAATAACTGTATGAAAAGTATACTCTAACATGTTTCTCCTGTGAGAGAGTTAAATATAAAAAGCAGAACAGGAGAAATCTATAAAGTGGGTGATTGTCATGACTTCACACATCTGATGTTTTCATTAAGACATGACATCTATGAAAACACCACAGTAATCATACACATGTACAAACTTGAGGTTTTATCTGCTGTCTGTAGAATCCAAAACAATCACCTGTGCATCCGTGTCTTTTTTTTACCCTGTAGTTCACCTATTCTGTCTCAGAGTGGAGCACTTTAAATAAGGCCAGTAAAGGGTGACAGGAGGTTCAGAAGGGCTCAGATAAAAGCCAAGTAGAGATGGGGGAGGAAAGTTTGGTCAAAGCAAGATAGGGAAACTAGAACTTGGCTTCTTTCCAGACCATGAGCCAGCAGGTTTGCTCAGTCAAACTCAGTGGACAGGTGTGCTACTGGGCACAGTCAGGCACACAATGGGAGAGACAGGTACCTCTGCAAGGTGGAAGGGAGGTAGAAAACACTATCGTTATGGTTTCTTGAGTGTTGCTCTTTCAAAGGAATATAGATGTGGACAGTGAGAGCAGCTTGCAGGGGCAGACCAATAAGGAAATTCAGACCTGATGTTAAATTTTCCCACATTCTCAAGAGTTGAATGAGAGAGGTGTTACAAGTAGAGAAGCAGTTCATTTTTAAAGAAAACTTGCTTGTACTATCCTAGGAAATTGACTGAAGTCCCAATATCTGAGGATGAAGATTAAAAGAT